TGCGGAAGATCGTCAAAACAAACAGCAAGATGGCGTTCCCTAGATTGTGGAGGGTTGTCACAAACAACTGAGGATTGTTTCAAGAGAAGCAACTTCGATAGTATTCCCTTGGACGTGGAGTATTATCATAGCGGATGAGGATTGTTTCAAGAGAAGCAATCTTCGATAGTATTCCCTTGGACGCGGAATATTATCAATGCGGATGGAGATTGTTTCAAGAGAAGCAATCTTCGATAGTATTCCCTTGGACGTGCAATATTATCAATGCAACTGAGGATTGTTTCAAGAGAAGCAATCTTCGATGGTATTCCCTTGGATGTGGAATATTATCAGGCGAAACAATCTCCTAATTTGGAAGCAGTTACAGGCGTAGCGGTTTTCAAGCGGGATGGCATTCTCTAGCTTGCAGAAGGTCATCAAAACAACAGTAAAGCGGCAGCAAATTGGTTAATCTCAGAGACATGTGCTCGACGGTGCAAGATACGCGTTTCTTAACTCTTTTATCTGTTTAACTAATGCTAGTTTTGCAGGTATCGGCGTTACAAGAGTGATTTAGGATCGCAGAACGTTCTGAATCATTCTCCGTCCCTATCTTGAAAGAAGATAGAGAAAAAGAGTGGGATTAAAAGCTTGAAATTATTCCCTACAAATACTGTAGGGAATATTTCAAGCGTTAATCCCCTAGCTTGAACCCCACTGTGATCATACACTAAAGTACGGTGGCGCCCAAAGGGAAAGAAGATAGAGAAAAAGAGTCGCCAACAAGTTTTTAGGAACTTGTAAACCGTTCACGAGGTGAAGGTTACACCCCTTAACGATCCAAGAGATCGTCAACTCCATAAGGTCTTGAACCAAATAGGGTTCGGGGATGAAGGTACAAATCTAACCTAAAAGAGATTGAACCTGCCCTAATAATAGGCCTCTACTTTATTCTGATCGTATTCATGTGCGCTTTCTGACTAACATGCAATCAATAGGTTTACCCTAAACCTGTTTATCTATGTTTGTTGAATATTAATGCACAAATAAATCTATTATTGGCGATCACTTGAATTGTAATCAAAATTAACCCTAAACAGGATTATTAATTATCTTATTAAGCGTGATTACAAGTACCAATTCCCTTTAAACATGCATAAAGGTGTGATCAAGCAATAAAAATAAATATCAAGCAACATAATAACAATAAAAAAATAATTATAATAATTATAAATATCATAATAATTAAAATAATAATCATGTTAAAGCATAATAATAGCAAGATCCTAGGCATGATACTAACAAGATTAATAACAAACCCTATCATGTCACTAAGCAATTAAAATCAAAGCTTTAACCCTAACATGATACTAACAATCATAAATATTCGGAAGAACATAAAAGGCATCATGCTTTTAATCATACTTAATATTAAAGTTACCCTAGACATGATACTAGGAATATCATAATAACAACCTAAGCATGAACTCTATATAATAACAATGTAAACAATTAAAACACTTACTTGGATGCCTCGTACCTCTTTCTAATAACAAAATACACACGTTAGTAACTTCAAGGAAAATAATAAACAACAATTAAATTAAAAGATTGAAAGAGAGATTTGGGACCAAACCCTCAGAAATTAAACCTTTCACGTCTAGGGCGAAGGCAACTTCGAACAACGCTAGGTGTTTCCAAGTATAAGAATGCGGAATTTTGTATTTGAGAGAAGGCTAGTTTAGAAAAGAGAGAGAGAGAGTAATCAAGAAAATCTTGATGAGAGTTGGCAAGAATTGGAAAGAATAAGAATTGATGAATGAAAACGGAGTTTTTAACACGTTATTTATAGAAAAAATCAGCCAAAAAGATAAAACATCAAAAATAGAGTTCTAACGCGTAAAACCAGGTTAGCGCCAAACGCTGACCTTAGCGCCAAACGCTAAGGCTAGCGTCAGGCGCCAAGCGTAGCGTCAGGCGCCAAGCGTAGCGTCAGGCGCCAAGCGTAGCGTCAGGCGCTACAGATGGCGTTTGGCGCTGACTAATAAATTGACGCGTTTTCTTAAAATCAGATAGAAATTGCCGTACAGGAGGATAAAATCGTATTTTCCTCAAAAACGTTCTTTTATTCTGATTAAAACTCTAAAAAGTCAACAAAAGTCAATTTATCAATGCTAATTGAATTAGGAATGAAAAGAACCTTCTAGAAGAATCTAGAAGACTAAAACCATTCCTAATTGCATTAGGAATGATAAATCCATATTAGGCCCTCCCCTAGATCATTGGGCCGCATATAAGGCTCAAACCGGGCCCAGTTTAGTAAATTGGCCATAACTTCCTCAGTATTCATCGGAATTGGGCTTATAATATATCGTTGGAAAGCTCTTTTCAAGCCCCATCCAACTACACCACTATTGGACCCATATCATGGACCAACCAAACTGGATTGGCTGTTTTCTTAAAATAGGTTTTCAAAAACAGAGAGAAGAGAAAAGAAATTAAAACTATCCGCAACTCTAAACTTTCCACACTTTCACTTTATTTGATTATGATTCGACGTGAAAGGTACTCATCACTGGGTTTGGTTTTGGGGAGACATAAATGGGTGTCTACAAATACATACCGATGTATGTGGACCAATGAGCTCCGCCACAAGAAACGAACATCGATATCTCATCGCCTTCACAAACGACTATAGTAGATATGGCTATGTCTACCTAATATCGCACAAATCTGAATCGTTTGACAAGTTCAAAGAATTTCAGAGTGAAGTTGAAAATCAGCTTGGCAAGAAAGTCAAAGCCCTTCGATCGGATCGAGGTGGTGAATACTTGAGCCAAGAATTCGATGACCATCTAAAAGATCATGGTATACTTTCAGAACTGATACTCCAGGAACTTTATAATGGAACGGAGTATCCAAACAGAGAAATCGAACCTTGTTAGACATGGTACGATCAACCATGGGTCTTACTGATCTTCCTATCTTATTCTGGGGACACGCACTTTTAACTGCGGCGCTAACTCTGAACCGTGCTCCATCGAAAGCTGTAGATAAGACTCCATACGAGTTATGGACGAACAAACCTCCTAGGTTGAATTTTCTAAAGATATGGGGATGCGAAGCATATGTCAAGAAATTGATTTCTAACAAACTTCATCCCAAATCTGATAAGGTTTACTTTGTGGGCTACCCAAAAGAAACCAAAAGGTATTACTTCTACAACAAATTGGAGAACAAAGTGTTTGTTGCTCGCGATGGTGTCTTTATGGAGAAGGAGCACCTTTCCAAAATGACAAGTGGGAGGAAAATTGAACTCGACGAAGTTCGTGAGGATGAGCAACAAAATCAAAATGGCAGTCAAAGTGCTCAAGCAGCATCTATTGACGAAGGTCAAAATATGCAAAGTCGAACCGACAATGCAAATGCTCAATCCATTACCCTACGCAGGTCTCAAAGGCCGAGATCTCAACCTGATAGTTATCTTGGATTGTTTTTAATCGAGAATCAGGACATCCTAATCATGGATGGAGATGAGCCGACAACCTACAAGCAAGCAATGGCAAGCACCGACTATGTTAAATGGCAAGAGGCCATGAGATCTGAAATGGATTCCATATTTGAAAATCAAGTCTGGGACTTGGTTGACTTACCCAAAGGCTACACACCTATTGGATGTAAGTGGATTTTCAAGTTGAAAACCGACAAAGATGGAAATGTATTTATTTACAAAGCTAGATTGGTAGCAAAATGTTATAGACAAGTTCATGGTATTGATTACGATGAAACCTTTTCTCCAGTCGCAATGCTTAAATGTTCGGATCCTCCTAGCGATTGTTGCGTATTACAATTATGAAATATGGCAGATGGACGTTAAAACCGCCTTCCTAAATGGTATTTTGGAAGAAACTGTGTATATGACACAGCCTGAAGGTTTTGTCAACCAAAAAAACGCAGGAACGTTATGCAAGCTTAAGAAATCCATTTATGGATTAAAGCAAGCAAGTAGAAGTTGGAATCTGCGATTTGATGAAGCCATTACTGAGTTTGGTTTTATCAAGAATCCAGATGAGTCTTGTGTTTAAAAGAAGGTCAGTGGGAGTGACGTCACCTTCCTAATCTTATATGTCGATGCCATTTTTCTCATTGGAAACAACATTCCATTGTTAGAGTCCGTAAAGGCTTGGCTTGGAAAATGTTTTTCAATGAAAGACTTGGGAGAGGCTCAGTACATACTAGGCATCAAGATCTATAGGGATAGATAAAAAAAGATGATATAATTGAGTCAAAATACTTATATTGATAAGGTACTAACTCGATTCGGCATGAAAGGAGCCAAGAGAGGCCACCTACCCATGTCGCATGGCCACCTACATGAATACGAGTAGAATAAAGTTGAGGCCTATTATTAGGGCGAGTTCTTTCTCTTTTAGATTGGATTTGTGCCTTCATCCCCGAACTACCAGTCATGGTTCCAGACCTATTGGAGTTAACGATCTCCTGGATCGTTAAGGGGTGTAACCTTCACCCTGTGAACGGTTTACAAGTTCCTAAAACTTGTTGGCGACTTTTTTGCTCTATCTTACTTCCCTTTTGGACGCCACCATGCTTAAGTGTATGATCACAGTGGGGTTCAAGTTTAGGGTAATGCTTGAATTATTCCCTACACGCACATACTTCTTCCGTTCTCTTTTAATTGGCACATTATAATAGACATAGAATTTTAAAAATAATTAAGTGAGGGAGTTTTATTGAATCTATACTTATACATTAAAATCTATCTATGCTAATATATTAAAAGGAGTTACTAAAAACCACTACTACAAAAATGCCCAAAGAGATCCGAAATAAGAGACTCGTTAATCAAACAACCGGTCTCTGTGTTTCAAGAGACCCAACATTACAAACAACCGGTCTTATTCGTAGTATTCTAAAAAAAAGAAAAAAAAAACAAAGACCCTTTCTCAAAATACATAACATGTCTCTCTCAATTTTTTTATTTTTAAATTAAAAAGGGGAGACCTGTGTTTTTACATAACCGGTCTCTCTTTTCATTAAAATAAAAAAAAATACTAGTATATGTTTTGGAGAGACCTGTGGCGAGCTTAACCGGTCTCCCTAGCTTATTTCCATGAATAAAATATAACTAAACCCTAAAATCTTTCCCCCAATTTTGCTTCTTCAGTCCGCCTCCTCTTCCTCTCTCTCTCCTCCTCTTACCTCAAACTCCTTATTCCTTCTTTTCGTGAACCATTTCATTCACATTTCAACTTCAATTCCTCCATTTCTTGTTTCAATTCATCTTTTCTTCGTAATTTAAACCTAAATTTTTTATGTTTATCATTTTCTTTAACCTCGGTACTATATAAATTATTTCGCTTTCAATTCGTCTCCATAGACAAACCAATGGAGCTTCAAAAGTACCTTTTAATGGCATTTGAGCTTCTCCTCTTGATTTACCACTAAGAACAGGTTTTTTTTTTTTTTCAAAAAATAATCGCTTCATTCTATTGCCTCAATTGTTTTTTCATACCCTTATTTTTAATTTATTTTTTATTTTAGATCTCGCTAAAATGAAGTAAAAATTGTAGATTTATGGGTAAAGGGAGTGTTGATTCTCATTTTGCAATATTATCAGACTACCTCAATGCTTTGATGGGTAAAGGGTTCATGTTATTGCTGTTAATAATTATTTAGTGTTGTGATTGTGAGTGGGTTGGTCAAGTTGCTCGATTTCTTGGTCTCAAGGCTGGCCTTGTTAAGCATATTGTTTTTATTTTCATTTTATGTTCTTCAAATATCATTTTCATAATTTGATTAAGATCTATTCATCTAATTTCTTGTTTTCTTTTGATTTTCAAGTTTGATAATTTTAAAATAATTATTTAGATGTAATTTTTATTTTCATTTTTAGATTTTATAACCTCTGTTTTTTATTTTTATTCTTCAATTTTAATTTTTGCGTTTTTATTTTGATTTTGAAAAAATAGTTTTCATTTTTATTTTCTATTCTCATGTTTGTTTTAGATCTTATCGGTTTAAACGTTTTTTTTTTTGGTTTATTTTTTACTATTTTAATTTCGATTGTAAATTTTTTGATATAATTTGTGATTATACAAAATGGGTAATTTCTGAATTTTTATTTTGTTTATTTTTTTTTCTTTTTATTTTTTCTTTTTAATTTCACTATTTATCTGTACATTGTTAGTATTATGAATTCAATTTTATTTACCTTTGTATAGCTTCTATTTAGTGTAAATCTATAATTTTTGTTGCTTGTGTTTAGTGGAAATCTAACCTTATTATTGTTTGTTCTTATTATAGGTTATCTATGAGCTAATGTTTAACGGTGATATGATATAGATGGCGAGGATGGTAACGGATGATGATGAAGATAATCACTCCAATGAAACAAGTGGATGATAGTTCATTTTTAGTGTTAATTTTTTTATGTGATTACAAATTAATAGATTATAGTACCTAGATAAATTATCTAACACGGAGTACATAATATAAATTACGATGTACTGCGTATCTAATATGTAAATACTTTGTATGTATTATGTACTACAGATTAATAGATATACCTTAGATTGTATTTTTTTTTTTCGAGCAAAATATAAAATTGTATATTTGTTTTCGTAATATATATTTTTTTTTAAATATAATGTAGCAAGATACCGCCTATCTAACATAACTGGTCTCTCTTGAACTCATAAAAGAGACTGCTTTTGTAAGTTCACGGGTCTCAATTTTTAAAACGAGAGACCGCTTTTCTGACAAAAAGGGTCTTTTATGCTTTTACAATTTTAATATTTCAACCACCCAAAGAGACTGCTTTTCTAAGATAACAGGTCTCAAGTTTTGAAACTTTAGACCGCCTCTAAAGAAGCAGTCTCTTAGCCAAAGAGACCGCCTTAGAGGCGAACGTCTCTGGGCCACGTAAAGCACGTCACGTCACCTACTCCATCTCTCATTATGCCACATCATCACTACACAATAAACCTGAATCATTATGCCATGTCACCTAATATTGCTTCATATAAAAAAATGATGATAAGGCGTTTCAAACACCAACCTCTTATAAGAAAGATGGTTATTTAACCACCTAAGCCAATGATCAACTATGTTATGGAAATGAATAAAAATGTATATGATTGATAGTCAAAAGGTCTAATTAAAAAAAAGACATTATAAATATCAAATACATATAATCACAAGGAATAATTAAGTGAATTGCTATTTGCCACAATGAAATTACTCAAGCTATAGTATTAAAAGACTTCTATGTCCCTTATTATTTTGAAAATAACATAACAATCCAACCATTACTAACTACTACAGTAACTTTGTCCTACCTTGACCATACTCAAGCCTTAGCTCCACATTGACTATTAGCTCCACCACCCACCTTGACTGTCCACCACCACGACTCCACCTAAACAACAAACTTGACCGATCCCACAATGGTTGACCACTAATATTGTACTTTCCGTCCAATAAAATGAGTCGACGACTGTCTGCGTTAATATCAGAGGCACTTGGTGGGTACGACAAACCTTCGATGTCGTTGAGTCAGGTATATGTCGGACTTTTTTTTTTAATTTCCGTTGTACCCGGTCGCATGCTATATGCGACTACACCACGGTATAGTCTCATGTTATATGTCGCATATAGCATGCGACTATACCGCGGTGTAGTCGCGTATCACATGCGACTACGCCGCGGTATAGTTGCATGCTATATGCGACTACGGTGAAGTCGCATGTAGCATGCGACCAGGTACCATTTAATTATTTTTTTAAGCAAACTGTTTAATTTATATTAATTAATTTTTAATAATTATTACAAATAACAAAATACACTTAATTTAATTAGTAAAATTTATGGATTAAAAAATTAGTAAATTTATAGGCTTAAATAAATAACAAATTTGCCAAAAAAACAAGTAAGGGCAAATTGGTCATTCAATACCACAACATAAGTAATTCTATTGTGGCATTTAGTAACCCCCATAATTAAAGTAACAACTTGGTGCAACTCCCCGGCTACACACTAGTTTTTTAATTATAAAGTGGAATCTTATATTATTCATGGATACATTGCATGGGTCGGATACTTTAATATAAACCAAATTGTTTAAGATTTTTCAAAAGCAGTTAAAAAATTAGCAAGTCCTTGCCAATTTGAGTAATGTGTCAATTCAAGTACGGACAATAAAGGAAAATGTGTTAATTATTTATGAACAAAATTAAAGGGAGTAGTGTTTTAGAAATAGTAATGCCTTCGTCTTTTTAATTGCATCATTTTGATTTTCATGGATTCCTAGGTAGTTTACAGAGTAGCAAAAGGTTGAGGAAAAAAGAAATGGAGTCCATATAATATGCAAGAGAAAGAGAGAATTTATTAGTTAAAAAGGCTAGTGATGCATGCACCTAAACTTAAAAATCCTTATTTAAAAAGTGATGCCTCTAAAAAAAATTAAGAAAAGAACTCCGAAAAAATTACTATACGAAGTACTAAATAACAAAAAATTTGGCATTAGGCCGTAAGTTAATACACTGTAATTAACTTTGGATACAATTCCAAAAGAAAGAGTTACCTGATAAGAGTAATTATGTAGCACTTCATTCTAGAGGTGATCAACATTGGTCCCGCCCGCTAGCTCGAAAATAGGGCGGGTTTGGGTTAACATAAAAATGCATTTTTAGTTAAAATGCCCGAACCCAGCCCAAAAAAGCCCGTTTTGGCCCAATAAGCCCGCTTCTTTTTTACGGGTTTGGACATGAGAAATTGTGTTAAGGCCCGGCCCGATTTTTTATCACCTCTACTTCATTCTTATTTTCCTATGCAATTGACAAAAAAAGGCTTTGACTCTTTGGTGTATTACAAGTAGATAGATATAGAGTAGACTAATAGGTATAGTGCTGTCAAATTTTAAATCAAAACCGTTTAACTGCCCGAAACAAACGGACCCAAATGAGAACTGAACCAATTAAAAACCGTTTTTTTTTTAAATCGAAAACCGACCCGAACCGTATGTAAATGAACCCGAAATCGAACCGATCCGAATAATGTTACACCGTATAAGAGTAATCTAACCAAAGATTTCGAGCTTTCAAGCTTCCCAATTTAGGAGACCTTTCTTTGTTTTTCCTTTAAGGTAGTCAATTAGCCCAAATTTGTTTTCTTTGTTTTTCCAAAATCGAGCCGGGTGGGCTAGCAAGTCAGGCTACATACGACCAGCTCTATGATATATATACTCTTAGGAACTGCTTCAGAATCAAATATGAAAGAATTTGTAAATCAATTTGGGTTATTGTTCTTTAGAAATTGGAAATCGTTGATATGATATTGGAGATTGTTTTTTTTTAAAAAAAATTTCTTTCAGTCTTTATAATCAATATTATTATTAAAACTTAAATGCAAGGAGTGTCATATCGCCACGTGTCACTTTCTTTTTCTTATTTAGACACGTCATCGATTAAACTGCCACATAATATAAACGATTACATGTACATGGTAAATATGTGTCAATAAATTGTATGATAAATTATTTAATTATATTATAGTATTGATTGTATGATAATCAATTAAATCAGTTGTTACAAAAAAATAATTTAATTAATTTTCATCACTCAAAATAAGTTTTGTAACCTATTGTATTTATTTTGAGCTCAATTAGAACATGAATAATTACAATGTATTTAAATTGTTTTGACCCACTTAATTTGTAACCAATATGTACTTGATGTTATTTATTTAGTGAAAGTTTTCCTATCAAAGTTTAAATATACCAACGTAAAAAAAAAAATATTTAAGTAATATTCAAAATCTTCCATAACAAAAAAAAAAAAAAAAAAAAAAAGAAAGAAAGAAATCCAGGACATCGTCGGTCACTAACTAGTTTGTTTTTAAAAATTGAGTTTTTTCTTTTTTAAAATTTGGCCCTTTAATTTGATATTAATGTGATGTCAATAAAAGCCCTTTATTAACCCGATATCTTAAAGCCTTTAAACTTTAGTGAGTGTATCCATTAAAACATTAAAAGGTTAAGATCCATTAAATTTTGGCCCGACCTTATTACAAATAGGCAGCCCTGTCCAATAACCTCCCCTGGCTATATGAATAACAGCTTTCGGACTTCAAGCATGGTAGCTTGCAATTCCAAAACAACAACAAACAATAAGCTTTTTCAGAATGGAAGGAAAAGGCAAACAACTTTAATTGTTTGCATATGGTGAAGGAGGCACGTGGGCTACATGTGAAAGAATTGGAGGAAAGGTGGACTACATCAAATCTTAAGCTGAACGAGCTTATTGTTTAAAAACTTGAGCCCAAGTGTCTTGGCTTATGACAAATTATGCCCACTTACAAGAGAATGGTATCACCATCAGTTAACTCTCAATGAAAACCTTAGCCGAAAAACAAGACAAGTTATGCTCTCGGCTAAGCGTAAGGCTTACCTACCTGAATATTATCAAGACAAGTTATGCTCTCGGCTAAGCGTATGGTTTACCTTTTAGAAGATTATCAAGATTTTTCGTGCTCTCAGTCATCTACAAGCCGTCATCTATCATCATGCTCACCCCTTAGATAGACTATCACAATAATTTAGCTTCAGTAGCTTAAATGTCTCTAAGGCATTTGCTTGGGGTTGGTTTTCACCCTTGCAAGTCTTTTGGGGCTAATTTTAGCCCTCGAGTATAATCAAAAGTCATTTCGACTCATATGACAACTTCTCAACTTCAATTACGCTTATTTCGTGTGATACCCGATCTACATATAATCTCGTTCACACATCACGCGTGGGGCTAAATGTTTGGGCCGACTCCATGGTCCTAAGCCTACTATAACAAAAATGACAAAAATACCCCTCCATGATCCAACCCACCAATCTTAACTATCCATTAATCATCACAAAGTACATAATTACCCATAATCTATCTACAAAAGTACAACCTTACCAACTGAAGTACATCTATAAATAGCTCACAAATGATTAATGATGTAACTTTTTCTAAATCTCTCTCCTTCTCTTTACTTTCTCTCTCTTGAAAGTACATTTCACCGACTTAAGCATAAGAGGGGCTTTCCCGGATCACGCCCCGAGACAGTTAACCTTCTCTTTCTTGCAGATCGAGCCCTAAGAGGTGCTTGCAAGGCAAATTAAAGCTCAAGGACTTTCTCAAGAATATTTGGACAACTAGACATAGACTCTAGAACATCTTGATACCCTAAATATCCTAACAATCTTAGGAGCATTCTGTTTCTAGAAACAGATTGTAATCCTGTAGTCCGAATCATAAAGCTAATAATAAAGAATGGAGAATTAAATTGGCACAACCAAATCTTAAGTGAACCTATCTTACTGCAATTACTATCAAATTATTATATCTTATCTTAAATTTATATGAAATCATTAGTTCGAATTTGAACTTATGTGAAAATATTTATACTAAAATAGGTGGAAAAAATGTACTTTAAACTTATAAGCTCGAATATGAACTTATTTGAAAATATTTTTTTTACAAAGAATGAAAAAATTAATGATGATTAAACGTGAACATCAATACATGAACTGTTAACAAATCAACTCGAAAAATGTACTCGAATCCGATATAACCCAACTTGAAATCAACCCAAGACCCAAATTAACCTAATATTTGACCCGACCTCAAAATGACTTGATTATAACTCGTAAATTACTGACTTGAACTAAACCCGACTCGAACCCGGGAATGACCTTATTTCGTTTTAACCCGTTAAAACCTGAATTAAACTCAACTTATTATCCACCCAAATTGAATGTAACCCGAACTGTTATTTACCCGACCTAAACCCGACTCAAACCCGATTAATGTATGACTTGACGGGATCCGACTCAAGCATGACTCAACTCGAACTCGACCTGCATAGGTTACGGCATTAACCTGAAATGACTTGACCCGAGTTGACCTGACCTACACTAACCCGATCCGCTTACCCGAATTAACAACTCTAGCTACTTGCAAGTTGCAACTAATATTTATCACAGAAGTGAACTCTTTAAATTTTTAAACCTCAATCCCCTACCATGTGTAGGGAATAAATTTCAAGCGTTAACCCCTAGCTTGAACCCCACTGTGATCATACACTTAAGTACGGTGGCGTCCAAAAGGGAAGAAGATAGAGCAAAAGAGCCGCCAACAATTTTTAGGAACTTGTAAACCGTTCACATGGTGAAGGTTACACCCCTTAACGATCCAAGAGATCGTCAACTCCATAAGGTCTAGAACCAAATAAGGGTTCGGGGATGATGGTACAAATCCAACCTAAAAGAGATTGAACTTGCCCTACTAATAGGCCTCTACTTTATTCTGATCGTATTCATGTACGCTTTTCGATTAACATGCAATCAATAGGATTAACCCTAAACCTGTTCATCTATGTTGGTTGAAGAATTCTTCTAAAAATTCTGAACCTAATCTTTTCAAAAAAGCACGGGGTCTGCCGGTTTGATTAATATTCCGATCAAAAACTTTATTTCTTAAAAATGTGCAAATAAATCTATTATTGGCGATCACTTGAATTATAATTATATTAACCCTAAACAAGATTATTAATTATCTTATTAAGCACGATTACAAGTACCAATTCCCTTTAAACATGCATAAAAGGTGTGATCAAGCAATAACAATAAATATCAAGCAACATAATAAATAATCATCATAATAATAATCAAAATAATAATTATAATAATATTCATGTTAAAGCATAATAAAAAAAGCAAGATCATAGACATGATACTAACAAGATTAATAACAAAATTTAGCATGTCACTAAGCAATAAAAATCAAATCTTTAACCCTAACATGATACTAACAATCATAAATATTAAAAAAGAACATAGGAAGCATCGTAACAATCATATTTGATATTAAAGTTACCCTAGACATGATACTAGGAATATCATAATAACAATTTAAACATGATTTCTACATCATAACATCAATTAACACCATTAAAGCACTTACTTTGATGCTTTGTACCTCTTTCTAATAACAAAATACACACGTTAGTAACTTCAAGGAAAATAATAAACAAAACAATTAAATTAAATAATTGAAAGAGAGATTTGAGACCAAACCCTCAGAAATTAAACCTTTCCATCTAGGGCAAAGGCAACTTCGAATATGGCTAGGTGTATCTAGATAAAATGAATGTGGAATTTTGTATGTAAAAAGCTAATTCAGAAAAGAAGAGAAAGAAAGATGGTGAATGATTAAAGAATGGAAGAATTGAAAACTGGTTGTAGGTGAATATGGATGATTATTGATGAAAATTGGTTTTAAAATAAGAATTGATGAAATCTGGTTATCGAAAACGGAGTTTTTAATACGTTATTTATAGAGAAAATCAGCCAAAAAGATAAAATATCAAAACAAAGCATTGGCGCACCTAAAACAGACCTGGCGCCAACGCTGGCTTATTGGCGCCAGGCGCCAGGCGCCAATGCCTGGCGTTAGGCGCTAATCCTGTTTTTGACGCGTTTTCTAAAATCAGATAAATTTTGCTGTACAGGAGGATAAAATCGTATCTTTTCCTCAAAAATGTTCTTTGATTTTAATTAAAACTCTGAAAAGTCAACAAAAGTCAATTTATCAATGCTAATTGAATTAGGAATGAAAAGAACCTTCTAGAAGAATCTAGAAGACTAAAACCATTCCTAATTGCATTAGGAATGATAAATCATATTAGGCCCTCCTCTAGATCATTGGGCCGCATATAAGACTCAAACCGGGCCCAATTTAGTAAATTGGTCATAACTTCCTCAGTATTCATCGGAATTGGGCTTATAATAAATTATTGGAAAGCTCTTGTCAAGCCCCATCCAACTACACTATTATTGGACCCATATCATGGACCAACCAAACTGGATTGGTTGTTTTTTTATAAAATAAGTTTTCAAAAACAGAAAGAAGAGAAAAAAAATTAAAACTATCCGCAACACTAAACTTTCCACACTTTCACTTCATTCGATTATGATTCGACGCGAAAGGTACTCATCACTGGGTTTGATTTTGGGGAGACACAAATAGGTGTCTACACCATGAAAGCCCTTTTAGACTTGAAAGTGAACTACAATAATAAAATCTTCAAAGTGAACTTATAAATTATAACATCTTCAAAGTGAACACAAAATTTAAAATAATTATTTAAAAAGTGAGATTAGCTGTTTTGACAAGAAGTCAATAGAAGAAAAACGTCTTTATGCAACTAACTATATTATTATAAGACCAATAATTAAATGCCAAAAGAAAAAACTTATCATTGCAGCATATGCTGAACAAATAAGAAAAAAGTAAGGCATAATATAACTTACCTTCTAATAAATTCTACTGCCAAAATCTGATTGACAAACCCTTTATTTGATAACTTTTTCATGTGAAAATTTGACACTAAAATAATGAAAAAGCCATGAAAGTTAGATACTCCCTTAATTGTTATTCATTAATTTAATCAAACACATACTTCGTATAAAATAATATAGAATATTTTGAATTAAATTAAATTAAATTAAATTAAATTAAATTAAACCTATAATGCTGAGTAGGAGTTTTGTCAACATAGCTGGCCGGTGGGGATAACAACCCCATACCTTATGTATGGAAAAATATTTAGGAAAACCCACGTAGAAACCTCATCTTACACTCCTCTTATGAAGTACCGAGTTTTATTTGATTATTTATTTAGCTGTTCTAGGGTAGATGAATAAACCAGATTCAATTTAAGATGCTGAATATCACTTTTAGATATTTGGTGCATTCTTTTTATTTGAACTTTTTGTAAACTAAGTTTATTTGATCCGATTTGCTTTGATATTACCTGAGGTTTATACCTAATCGGACTTAATCTCATCCCATATTAGACATGAATAATAAAAAATCTTTATTTTTTTAAAAAAAAGTAAATGAATGCACCTTTAGATAGAGTGCTAGTTATTACGATCAGGAAAGTAGTATCAAATCTAAAATTGAGGTGTATACGACTATACGTTCTTTGTGACTACTATAATGAGTTAGAATAAAATGAAATTCCTCAGTTATACTATGGAATCAAAATCAAAAGTTTTAAGAAATCTGTCAGTTGCAGCCATTAAAAATTTAATATTTTGCAAACTATAAAAATTAAAAAAAAAATTTGCAAATTGCAGCCCAAAATTATTAATAGCTTATCCATTGCCACCAAAATCCATTTTTTTTTCTCGATTTGCGTGCTGGAAAAGTTTCTTTAGGGTTTGGAGGTCATTTTATCAATTCAGGACCAAATTAAGCACAAAATCGGCAAAATTTTTTTACGTAAGTGACTCGTTTTGCGTATAAAATATGTATTGATTTGTGTGTAATTATTTTTTGACACAAAATGAGAAATTAAGTTAATTTTTTACCAATTACGAGCTTAATTTAGTAAAATGACCCTTAAAACCTAAATGGAATATTTTTCAGCACTTAAATCGAGGAAAAAATTAGATTGGGTGACAGTTAACAAGTTATTAGTACATTTGGGCTGTAAGTTCAAATTTATTTTTAAAATGGCTGCATTTTCCAAAACAAACCAAAATGCAAATTTAGGGTCTCTTTGCAGACAATAATAAATTAACAATCTTTATCACATACTCCATACAAAGTAATATAATATACAAATTATTTTTATTTTAAAATTAATAAACCCTCCTTAAAATAAAACACAAGTATAACCATCTTTAACTGATTAAAAAAAAACCCTTCTTTAATTGATTGAAAAAAACCATTTTATTGTTGTATATAAAATTGCAATTCTGTGTACTATATTCTTCAAAATAATTATGCTTATGACAGTATACAAATAATGAACTTATAATATTTGGTGTTTGGTGAGACTATTAAAAAAAGATCCTACAAGGAAATATAAAATAATAAATATTAAACGGTCAAAAATAAAACATTTTAATATAAGTACATAAAAATTGATAAAAAGACAAATAAAATAGTAGAACAATCACAGTTTTTTTTTGTAACAGCATACAACAAGTATTACAAGTTACAACCAAGATGCCCTGGACATAAAAATAAAATCTTCCAACTTGCAACACCAGACAAGTCCTTCTCTTGTACTGCTTTACAGCACATATAATTATACACTCACATAGATTTATAATCTCCCTTTTTTCCCTCTTCTTTGTCTTTGTCTTTAATTTTAATTTTAAGTTTTCTTTTCTTATTTTAGCAAGATTTTAATTTCTGGGGTTGTTACCTTCGTTAATAATCAATCATCAAAAGGAATTTTACAATAGTTTTCCACTCCGTATTTTAAATTCGACCCAATAATCATAGTTTGGTTTGGTGGGTGACAATTTATTTTTTCACGGTCTTCAATATTTTCTAGTCAATTGGGTTTAAACTTTATAACATTGACTTAAATGCTTTCTTTTTCGATTTCACATTAGTTATTGCAACGTTTGAAGTTTCACGGCTGTCTTATTACGTGCAACTTCGACAAAATTCGGGGTTACTGTTGCAATTTCACTCGATCAAAACACAAAATAACCCAAGAATGAATTGAATTGAAGAATTGAAAGAGAGGAAAAAAAGAGAGAAACTTAATTGTTTTTGTTGTAAGAGAGTGGTTTTGTGGTTGTGTGAGTGTGTCGGCGCTGGGTCACTTTCTGTCAACATTGTCTTGTATATCCAACAACAAGAAGGAGGCGCATTCTTATTTTCTCTCTCCTCCATCTTCTTATACCTTAACAACCTCTTTCATTAAACTTTTATTTATTCCAAAGTTTTCAACTTTGATGAAGTGGATTCATTAGCTGCCCAAAGTACCCATTTTATTTTTTTTGGGTTTCATTCGGCGCTTGGTTTGATTCTGCTGTTTTTTTTTTTTTTTTTTTAATAGTATCCTTTTTAGTTTTTATATATATATTTTTGATGATTTTTGGAGTTTAATAAGAACACCCTTTTGTCAATGGCTTGCCCAATTCATGAATTTTTGGTGAATTTTGAAGTGGGTGTTGTTTAGAATTTGAAGATCAAATGTAAATTTGGTGGGTTTTTGCAAATGCAGCTAATTTTTTCAGAGATACTCCCCAAATTTTATTATTTTCTGCCATTTCAGGTAATTTAATTAATTTTAGTAACTTATTGCTTGATATGCTTTTATTGTATTTTTCTATTCACAAATTTTGTGTGTATTTATGCTTTGCTGTAATGTATTATCTTTCATGCATTATTTTGTTCTTCATTAGTTATTTAATTCAATAATTTGAATTGCATGCATTGACATTGGAATTGTCTAGCTTTTGTGTTTCTGAGCAATGTAGCCATTTGGGTTTAAGGCTTTGACATTGTTGTTGTATGTTGTGTTTGCTCAGAAGTAAGGCTGTGGATGGGACATTTCAATTTCTCAACCTTGTCCTGCTAATCGAAAACTCTAGGTTTCCGAATTTGAATGTATTAGAAATTAGTGTGCATGATGATCACATTATATGCTGAGATTAGAATAAAGAATGAACATTAAGTTTAGTGATCAAAAGTGCCACTATATATTCCAATATAATCTATATCAACTTATCAAGTGTCCAACTTGTTTGTGTCACTATTATTGAAAAGTTGTGGTTTTGCATTTGTTATTCTATGTCATTGTTAGCCTCAGAGATTGAATGTTTGACTTAATGTTGGAGGTTCTTTATATATACTTTATTTGGGGATTTTTTTTATCAGGAGTTATATGTTTACATCTTTAATTATTAAATTGTCATTTCAGGCTTAGATGAATGATAGCTTCTACTATCATTTGTAGCTGAATTGGCTTGAGTGCCAAATGTCAAGGCAACTTGTAGTTATAGTAGGATTTGCTGCAGGAGCTGTGGCGTTTTTGATAATAGTTGGGTTGCTTATATGGTTTTGCTGTTTCCATAGTCGTAGAGCTTCGAGAACTTCTGAGACTGGTTCTTCTGAGCCTTCTTATCAAGGTAACTCTCAGCGTTTGTGAATCATTTACTAATTGTGTACTGTAGGCGATCAATCTCCATTAAGTTCATTTAATTTTTTGCCTCTTTCTTATTTAGTAGGAAAATCTGGTGGCATTGAGATGTCTTTTCGAGAAGCAAGGCGCTTTGACTGGCAAGAACTTTGTGCCGCTACAAAAAATTTCAGCGAACAAGGTCTGATTGGCGTAGGAAAGTTTGGAGAGGTTTACAAGGGTCTGCTTACAGATGGTGTGCTAGTCGCCATTAAAAAACGGTCTGTTGCACCTACTCAGGAGTTTGTTGAAGAGGTAATGATCATCGTATGACTGGGATCAGCTGTGCTTTATGTCAAACTATTTAGCTCATTCTACTACCTGTATCACAGATGGTCACTTTGTTTGTCTAAGATGTTTAAGAAACTCGGTCTCCATGTTTTTTGTCATTTAATTGAGAGAAACACGATGCAGTAATGCCTCTGTACTGCAATTTATGCCTTACAAGAAACAACTGATTATGCCTATTGGGATCTATTGTGCTTAACATGCACCTTTACATTTCAAATTTGATGATTATTAGCAATAGATCATGTAACGCTTGAGGGAACCAGCGAATTTTTTTGTTTTACTCAATACCTGAAAACTTGATGATGCTTAATAGCGCACATGCATTAGACTTTGTATTTATCAGAATTCATTCCAAACAAAGTTTTTCAGGGTACAGATGTCTCAATGGCATGGCTTTATAGACATTTGTTTTGTTTAGAAGGAAATGCGGAGCAATCGACTATGATCCAATCCTATTTATTATGTTTTGGCTTACATGAGAAACGACAAAATGTTACAGGGCGAATTCTTTGCCATGAACTTCATTCGAGATTTTGTGTTTTTTCAACTTCTTCTAGATGTGTTATTAAGGGACTTTATCAACTATATGCAGTGTGATCCCATGCTATTTAACTTGGCCTGTTATCTTTTTGTGTTGCTGATTGTTTGACTTTCAGGATCCTACTTTGACATGACTGTGTATTGGTTTCCCTTTAATCTTTTATAGCAACATTTTTTGACATGAAATCACATTTATTATGATTTGTCAAAATATAGGATTAAGTTGCCAAGGTCATCTTAGATGAATTAGGTTTTTTTTTTCCTTCTTTTTTCCCCCCTCTTGTGCATGTAAACATAACCATGAAACAAATCTATCCAGAATAAAACCACCTGGTTAAGTAGTGCCAGTATCCATTTCTCAAACCTCAATTGCTACTTTTCTATTCTTGTTTTAGCTAAATTTTCTGAGCATTCAATATTGATATCTGCATTTGATCTCATGCATTAAGTAACAGTTTATTACTGTTTTAAGCACATTGTCGTAAGTCATGCTAACATATGGGAATGGGATGACGGAGGTTTACATCAAAGGCTATATTGTAATGCAAAGTGTTTGTTTTCTACTCTTGCTAGCAAGCTTGCTTCTATTGTTGTAGTCATCTGCATTTCTCTGATGTCTAACTACATTAAAACAATTATTTCCATTCAGGTACGCTATCTTTCATCAATTCAGCATCGGAACATTGTGACACTCTTGGGATACTGTCAAGATAATCATCAACAAATTCTAGTTTATGAGTACATACCTCTTGGAAGTGTTTCCAGTCATCTATATGGTAACTTTTCTGTGTGTTTATATTTATCCTAGTTGGTTCCATGCGCTTCATGGCTTAATTAGTAAGGGATTTTACAGGAGCTGCTCATGTTTCACGAGAGAAGCTGGAATTCAAACACCGGTTGTCAATAGCTCTTGGGGCAGCTAAAGGTGATCCTCTGCCAAATCCGTGAGCATTTGTGGCTTTACTGGTATTAGTTTTTCTTTCCCTTGTTCCCCTATTAAGCAAGATAAAAGGAACATAAAACTGAGCAAACAAGCCAAAAATTTGATGTACTTCGTATAAGAGAAACAGAAAGTGAAGCAATCTCAGCCACTGCACTTAACATATTTTGTGTAAAGTTAATAGAAAAAAAGGTTTTCATATCGTTAATCAACATCCCTACACATCTCCTGAAACTGTTAATTACAAATAAGTAGTGATACATTGATAGTTAACTTTGATTTAGTTGTTTTCCTTTTGATGGGTCTTCACAAAACACTAAGCTTTACCCGTAGCTTTCTTGGTGATTAACTAAATTTGACATTGTAACTTGAAGACATAGGTTCGAAATAGTCATTACTAACCAATATGAACATCTTCGAGGAAGAACACCATCTGATTTTTGTAGTCTAATATAACTTTCAATATGTTTAAACAGCAAGCACAGAAAGAGAAGACAACTGACTCTTGCACTTGGAAAATTAAACAAATACAGAAATTTCTAATAAACTAATTAAAACATGGAAATTAAGAGATTTTGCAAATCTTTGATGATGATTAAATGTTGATTGCATCTCTTTTGGAAACCAATGATTAAGTCAGGGTTTCTTTTGAGAGAACAGAGGTATTTAAAGCTAAATTCTGTAAAAAGCTTATGTGAGGATTATTTGTTGTTTTATAATGATTCTCTGAATATACAGTGCTGCATTTAATGGTACTAAACAGAGAATCCATAATTGCCGCTAACACCCTGCAGGTTTGGCTCATCTTCATTCCCTTAGCCCGCGCTTGCTACACAAGGACTTCAAGACCTCAAATGTGCTTGTTGATGAAAATTTTGTCGCGAAAGTTGCAGATGCAGGAATCCGGAATTTTCTTGGAAGATCAGATGCAGCGGGTACATCTTCTCAAGTGGATGCCGATGAAATTTTTCTTGCCCCAGAGTATGATTCCTACATTTCGTTTAACAAATCCTTAAAAGTACGACAGCTTGACAGCAATATCATCTACTGTTGTTTTCTGTCCTTGAAGGGTGAAAGAATTCAGACAATTTTCTGAAAAAAGTGACGTGTACAGTTTTGGGGTTTTTCTCTTGGAGTTGGTCTGTGGACAGGAAGCAAGAGAATCATACTCTCCGGACTCTAACCAAACTTTGGTAGAACGAGTAAGAATCTTTCATTATATGCCAGTATACTCTCTGTATTAAATGTCTCCTTTTCTTGACTTCCTGAAGATTCAATTTTCATTTCATCTGCTAAAAGACAATCTTGTTGCAATGTCAATATCATCTTAACCGACATCCTCGTCATGCTTACTGCAATGTCATTCTATTGAGTTAGGTACTAGAACAGAGATGAAATATGAAAACATCGACACTAGGGCCATCTTATTGATTGATGTATGTGATTGGTGGTGCATGTGAGCGTACAAGTGACAATTACATATATTTTTTGTTGGGATTTGTTTAGAAAAATGTTGACTTACTGTCAAGATGATATTTTTCTTGATGGCAATTTCTTTCTTTTTTGAGTGATTAGGTGCTAAATTACCATGACTTCAGTACTGTTTCTACCATGGTTGATCCAAGAATGGGGAACAAATTCACGGTGGAAGGGATGGAAGAGTTTGTACAGTTGATTGTCCGTTGTATAGACCCCTCTAGTGAACTCAGACCCGGAATTAGTTATGTGGTTACAGAACTTGATCAGATATTGGAGAAAGAAATGAACTTAACTACAGGCATGGGGGAAGGAACCCCAACAGTTACACTCGGGAGCCAGCTTTTTAGGGCTTTGAAATAAAAAGGGCATAAAGATTATTCAGCCACAACTATTTCTAGTGTGATTCTTGTTAAATATTTCTTCATTCATCTCGTCTATCTTTTACTCTATATCTTCATTTATTCAAGGGAAAAAAAGGTTGTCAAAGGGACAAGCAGTTGTTTGATAATTGTATAAAGAACAGCTGTAACAATTTTATTTTTTTTAATGATTTTTTTCCCCTTCAATTTTATGTATGTATCCCATCAAAAGACCTTATTCTAAACAATTATTTGTTTGTTAATATATAGGTTTGAAGTTTGATGAGAATTTGTTCATACTTGTTGATATACTTTGTAAACGAAGGTAGATTTTTTTTTTTCTTTAATGATTATGTGATACTTCGATTTTCTTTCATCTTATTGTATGGAGGAAAATGAAGCATAAAATTTGGACAAACAATTTATGGAGGAAATTTGACAGCTTTAGAAGACATTCTTCTCAAGGAAACATTCATTGATGACCAATGACAAATTTCATGATAAAAAACACCTTCCTTGGAACATAATGTCTTAGGTTCTGAATACTCCCATCAGTCCCATGTGCTAAGTTACATACTTACATGTACCTTATTGATTGTCACTACTACGGAATACCAAATTGACATATTTTAAAGAATTTGATGAAACAGATTATGTTGAAATTTATGTCCAACTTTATAGATGTATCTAGGAGGGATCCAATTCGATAAACTCACTTTAATTTTGAAGCTCATCCTTCGCTAATAATCTCTTCACTAGTGAGTTTGGACTTTCATTTGATCATTTTAGGAATTTGAAAGTTGTTAGATGATGTCTACCTCTTTTGGAAGAGTAGACACCTAAATGTGTCCTTCAAAGAAATCCCGATGATGATGAATATTTTCACCATCAATTGGTCCGGGTTGCATATCTGTTAAACTTTGCACAAACACGGCTTGATCTCATTCATTGCTCAAAGAGTATATATATGTTACAAGATACCCTAAACCCTAGAATAAAAGATAATCTAGGTAATTAGTAAAATAACGAATAATATAGAAGATAATTACCCCAAAAGATACGCTAACAACTATAACCTATATATTCCCAAATGTTATGAAATATAGTGTGGATGCCCATTGTACTCTTTGTATTATTCTAGAATATTCTAAATAGGTCATCTAGGGTTTATATTCTTATCTAATCAAACCCTATTTATATTGTATTTATATATATACCCCAATATATGGAATAGAAAAAACTGATCGATTCTCTCTCAATCTCTCTCAAATTTCTCCTAATTTTATAACACGTTATCAGCACCATGGCTTTACCCGAATATCATATTAAAGATCATGATTGTACCTTGATAATCTTGCCAATTTGATTGGAAAAAAAAAGGTACGATTTCCTCCTAATGGTTTGTTAGTCACCTATATATTAATGTTAATTTGAAATTTGCTTTTGTATTGGTACAATCTATCGGAGATTTTCTTTGGTTGATTTGCTAAACTTAAAAAGATTATTAATGGTCGAAAGATGACTAAAGGCATAATTTTAATTTTAATGTGTCCTAACTCATATTTTGAATTTTTTTGGCTCTTGGGATTCTCGACTTTTTGAGTGTAAAATCTAGTAAAGTGTATTAGGAATTTTTGGTACATATTTTGTATGAGATTCATTGTGCAACTATAGATAATAATAATAATTTTTAAATTGAATTTCGTCAGCACTGTATCCATGAACTAGTGAATTGCTTTGATTAAATTCATTTGCTTACACGGCTAATGGTTTGCATAATTGTTCTTTATGGGAAATATTGATCTGATACTGTATTGCGATGCGGCATATTATTGATCGATTTCATTGTTTTTGATCAAATGATTATCATGTATGATTTATGAGATATATTATTAATATAATGATACCATAATCCTAAGCATAATAGGATGATTGGTGATTGTGAGGTCACGCTAGTAATATCTATGGGAACTTTACTCCTAATTTGTTACTTGTATTTATCATATTAGGTTTATTATAAGGAATCTTAAATCTTAAATAAGTCTAAGAGCTATAAATATATCGTATGCTAAAATTGTACTCCGTATAAATCTTTCTATTTGGTACGACTCATTATATCAAATTATAAAATATATTTGTTTAGTGATAAAATATACTGATGTTATAAAGGATAATATTTTCATATATTCTTGAACTATCGTTTTGGCATGATATCTTCATTTTGGTAGGTCAGGATATCTTTTATTAAGTATACCTTTTATTAGGAAACTAACAGACTTACGAGCAAGGTTTTTGTTTTCTTCCTTGTATAAATATTGTGCCTGGTACATCAATAAACTCTAAACATTGTGCATAATATTGTGCTTGTGTTTTTCTTGACTCCAATAATTTCTTCTATAGTAGTTTTTTTTTTTTTTTTTTTCATGACTTCATAGCATAAATTTATATTTCAGCAATTGCTTTATAGGATAAATCCCTTTGTAACACAATAATGGATAGTAAAACTTCTCTAGTTTTTTGTTGTTGTATGGTAATGTGTAATTGAATCAAAGCAAAGGACTCGTTAATTTATAATTAGAAGATCATAATTGAGGATATATGAGTTACTATTACAATCCGTATTGCTTTATACTACATACCTCTAGCGAATGAAGATGTAAATGAGGAATAATTACTTCCATACTAGTTAACATATGTTTTTGTTACATGATTATGTCATATGCCAAATGCCAAGTTATATTATTATGTTACCTTGTTTATTTTAAGGCATGATTTATGATTATTATTATTGCTACCTTATTATAATAAATCATGGTATAAGTATTTACTGTGAGATGTTTGATTTTATTATTTTGATTGCATATGGAGCATTTGGTCATTGCCTCACATTATATCAAGTTTTTAGCTTCTTAACCATAATTCTAAGATATATTACTCACCAAGATATTTATGTATAACAAACTAACAAAGATAAGAGTGACTTTATTAATTCGTAGCTCTATTAACCAAAAGACTAATTTTATTTGTATCTCAAGTCTATTTTGCATCCTTAATATTGACCAAATATCTATATTTTATTTATTGTGTTCATCTACAACTTTAATTTATCTTAATTTGTTTTGTTGAGGAATCGCTTGATGCTTTGGTCAGATATATGTTTGTACAAGTGTATTTAAACTATAAATTCAATGATAATAAGTTGCAAGTTAATTAATACTCTATAATCGCATACTCCTTTTTCAATCTTGAACTTGAAGTTCCAAATTTTTTTTTTCTTTTAATATATACTTTGTACTTTATATTATCTCATGTACATGCATTATATTATAATTGACATTAACTATGTACCATGATCATATTATTAGTAACCTTATAAGAGGGTACTATATTATGAAACATACTAGCTAACACGATGGTACAAGTATTGATTGATGTGCATATTGAATTTTATTTGTGGTTATTATAGATACCATACTTTGGGTGAGTATTAATGATTCATAAATTACTAAAAAAAAATTATTCCCAAATATGAATGAGAAATAATTGTATGATTGAGATGATATATGCATGTTTTCGTGATGAATATAATTCAAGCAAAAGTTATACGATCTACGTATTAAACATGATTGCACAATATATATTTGAGCAAGAGATGGTTACATTGTAGAAAACTTGCTTGAAAATGTATTTATTATGCCCATAGTGTTAAGAATAATTTTCAATATAAAGATTAATTAATTGGGCAAGCGTTACGAGTAAGAGTTTATAAGAATAATTTTATTATATTTGATACATGCATTACTAAAAGAATTTATGGCTTGAGAAGAGAATGAATTTAAAGATTGTTGGACTAGTTTTATACCCCCCATATGCAAGGATTAGGGAGAGATAGTGTTTATTCCATTGTTTTTATGTAACCTTGCACATGAATAATTAAATATGTTAATGGTACGGTCAGTTTGGTACATACACTAGCCTAAATATCAATAATTTATTTAATAGAGGTGGCCACATGATAATCAAATATTTAGAAAGATACCATCCTGAAGATGGATATGAATAAATGTCGTTACCTATATACTAGCTATAAATGTACATATTAAGTTCATGTTCTAGTTGGACAAGATTAGTTGCTATTGAACTAGAACACCTGAAGTGTGGTAATGCAAAAGGTTACAACAATAAGAATCCTTGGAAGAGGAAAGAAGCACTAATTGACAATGACAAATTTGAGAAAGTGACACATTTTTTGTATCTCCTGAAGAGATCATTTCTAATACATTAAATGTGATATGATTATATAAAGTACTCCAGAGGAGTACAAAATGTTGTCCAACAAGGTTAGCATATATCAAGATTATAATCAATGTTTTAGTGGAGTTACTGGAGTATTGGTTTAATTGTCTTGCCAATTGTAGAAAGAAAAACATTAGTGTACTTATATCACATCATATTCATGACCATGCATAAAGTATCTCTAATAAGGTGATTACCAATATTATAAAACTGACCATAATTTAAATACTAAAACAAAAGTGATTGGATGTGATAATTAATAATTAGGCCATGCGGGTTTAATAAATTCCCGTTATGAAAACCTGAAGTTTCATTTGATATGAAAGAAATAATGTGCTGACGCTCTCTCATGTTAAATATATGAAATAAATTGAATGGCAAGACATAACATTGAGATTGAGCTATATTTAGATTGTGATTTTTAATAGTTTGTGTAAATAGAAAAGTTCAAGAGATAATATATTGGTTTTTCTAAATAATTGATGACCATAAGTTCACTAGAATAATTTATATGTTGACAAGTATTAGGTGACCAGAAGCTCACCACGTACAAGTTATATGTGAAAATTTTAAGTAACTAGTATTACTATCAATGTTTCTAGTGATCTCGAAGATCACCACCTAGTGAAATTACAAGAAAGTTTATATTTGTATAACAATTCTCTTGGTTGGGGCTATTGTATGTCAGCACATAAGGAATAGAATAAGAAATTAGCTACTGCACAATTTATTACCCCTTATTAATATTGATCTTTAAAAGAGAACAAAATTTCATTATTCTAAGTTGGTGAAGAATTGCCCCAACATTTGAGATATTTTACCAATTTAGGGGGAAGAATTGAAGTAAGTTGGCAAAATTATAAACTATGAATAGTTGATTCCTCTATTGATACTTTGTAAAATTACATGCCAACTTTTGTATCAATATATGTTGCACATCTATGATTTGATTTGTATATCGTTATGACCCATCTAGAGGAATAGAGAGATATATTTTGATT